ATAAGATTTTGGGGCATCCCTTGTGCTTACCTACCTGGAAGTATCAGGTGTGCCTCAGTCAACATGGTTAGAATTCTGTTGGGAGATAAGTGCCGTCATTATTCAGCAGCCAAGCGGTTGATTTAAGTGCCTGCTCAATCAGTGTACAAGTTTGTTCACACAAAGTGCTTGAACTGGAGACATATATATGTATCAGTTTATTACCTTGTGATGAAGCTGAATCACATACAATACAGAAGATGCATGAATTCAGACAAACGTAAATAGAATGCATAAACTTCACAAGAAGTGTTCCCGATTAGAATATAAGTCTCAATACTTGAAGGTGATGTGCTTGATCACAAGCATACTTGTGCACAGGCTGCTTAATTTAATTAAGTTACCGAGTATTGCTGACTCTTTACTGTGATATTGTACACAGGTACACTCAAGCTAAGTAGCAATTAGGCATCTGTGTGCAATTATGTTGGGCAATGAAGTGAAAGCCTCAATGGCAGATCTAGACTGTCACTCACTGGGCCCAGTTTCATAATTGTGCATACAGGGACACAATAATCTGCATGCATAGTGTGGAAAATGGATGCAAAGAAAATATTTTCCTTCTTTAATTAAAGTAGAAAATAAGTAAAAGGCAACATAGTAAACATAAATACAGTGGTACCTCGGGTTACAGACGCTTCAGGTTACAGACTCCGCTAACCCAGAAATAGTACCTCGGCTTAAGAACTTTGCTTCAGGATGAGAACAGAAATCGTGCTCCGGCAGCATGGCGGCAGCAGGAGGCCCCATTAGTTAAAGTGGTACCTCAGGTTAAGAACGAATTAAGTTCTTAACCCGAGGTACCACTGTAAATGTTAACAGAGCACAAATTCCTGGGAAGGGTAACTGTCTTAGTCTGTTTTAGCAAAACCAACAGTGTTTTGGAACATGTTAAAAATTAACAAATTTGAGTATGGCATAAACATTTGTGGACTACAGTCCACACGGGGAGTGTAAACTTGAACAGGCAAGCATGCAGTATATACATCTGAAGGGAGGGAGAATTTAGAAGAATTTAGAGAGAAATCTAATGCAAAAAAAATTGATTGCCTGAAAGCAAAATGGTTACAGTGACTAGTTAATAAGGCAGCACCAGCATCTGAAAGGCCTAGTCGCAGATATCATATTCAGTGTATTTTGTATTTTTCCTCTCACCCCCCACTCTGGTAAAACAGGTGCTGAACTCAAGTTGTTTTATAAATTATATTTATAGATAGAAAATTAAATTGCAGTCTGTCAATGCTGAAGGAGATGTCACACATTTTGCATTTTTTTCACTTTAAAAATGGTGCCGAGGTTGAGCTGGACTTCAGTCATTGTGTACAGGCTTTTATCAGTGCTTGGCAAAAGAATGTTGCTAAAATTAATGTTCCTAGGCAAGCTAATCAGGGGAACTAGGCTTTGTGCAATATATTCTGCTAGATACCGGTGTTGTTGTTGTTTAGTCGTTTAGTCGTGTCCGACTCTTCGTGACCCCGTGGACCAGAGCACGCCAGGCACTCCTGTCTTTCACTGCCTCCCACAGTTTGGTCAAACTCATGCTGGTAGCTTCGAGAACAGTATCCAACCATCTCGTCCTCTGTCATCCCCTTCTCCTTGTGCCCTCCATCTTTCCCAACATCAGGGTCTTTTCCAGAGAGTCTTCTCTTCTTATGAGGTGGCCAAAGTATTGGAGCCTCAGCTTCAGGACCTGTCCTTCCAGTGAGCACTCAGGGCTGATATCCTGATACTGGTACAATGGCATTTTATTCTTCCAGTACCTATAAGCAGAACCCACTTCCCCAGCTCAGCTGGAATAAACCGGAATTTGGCTCCTTTCCTCTCTGAACTTTTCTCCTCCTATATGGTCAGTATAAGAACTGCTATGTGCAATTAAGAAGGCAGGGTCTGAGTTTGCTTATTTTCCTCTTCTCTTCCCACCCTTGTTGTTCTTGTTGCATTGTGTCTACTGCATTTGTAAACCTGCAGGCAGGGATTCTCTCTCCCCCCCCCCATCTTTATATAGCACTTAGTAAATTATATGTGCTTTATAGATAATGATAATAATGATGCCAACATTTGGCACTACAGCAGACTTATTTCAGGCAACAGCACAACTAATTTAACTTCAGTAGGCTGGTAATCCCTATTTCAAAAGATTAACCAGCATTTCAAAGTCAAACGGTGTCAGCAAAGGAACAGAAGATACAGACAGAATCTATTATATGAATGTCTCAGTGGTTATGGGCCACAAGTAGTTCACATAGTTAAAATTGGTGCAACTATGCTGTAACAGAATATGTGCCACTTCATCGAAGGCAATTTCCAGCAACATAGCATTGCACATTATATAAAAATATGAACACAGGGGGAAAGATGCTCAAAGCCAATTCCCTGCTTCTTTTAAAAAAGATTAACAAACCCTACATAAAACCATTATCTCTTACTCCTTATCATATGCATCTCTCTACTTTTTCACATTCTCTCTCAGGATCATGTTATATGCCATGTTTTTATGTGCCTATTAAAACCATTTGACAGGTACACATAAAAATCAGAGTACGCACACACAAAAAATAATACCATCCATGTCTGAAAGACATGACACGAGGGAAAAAACAAGCTCAGGAACCAGTTCTTAAATTAACGTAATTTGTTGCAGTGGACATCTTGAATGAACAGTTGAAGGAGAAGAGTGCCTCTATTAAAGATTTCAGTATTAGATACACCAGTTTTTAATTGTGGAGGGGGAACCTTGTCACCTTTTAACAACCTTTTGGTATTAAGCAGGTTTGGCAATCTTTGGTCTTCCCTTCATCCCTGGCCATTGACCATGCTTTCAGGGGCTGATGGGAGTTGTAGTCCCGCAACATCTGGAGTCAGTGGTTCTCAACATCTGGCACAAAGATAGGTGAAGGGGCCTGGGTTGCCATAGCTTTCCATTTCCCCCACTTCTTGCCAAACTTGTGTCTTGCTAAAAGCATTGCTGGCAGAATGCCAAAATGCAACAGAAAAAGGGTGGTGGGGAAAGAAAGAATATAGCTTCTCATAACAGCATACAAAAGAACTTGTGAAAAGTGTATGGTACAATCTAATTTATCCAACAGCTATGACTAATCAGCAGGTGAAGCAAATAGAAATGCGGTCATCTTGGGTTACATTGCCACAGAAGCTAAATGCAAAGAAAAAACATATTCTGATTTCAATATAGCTAATCAAGGTCTTTACTAGAAGGGTTCCCCCCCCTGAACTCCACCACACATATAAAAGGAGTGCCTCATTTGAATAAAGGGAAATGTCCACATTTTTATTAATTTTAACCAGCCATATGCTTTTCTAATGTATTTTTTAGCCTTGAACAATATGATCCAAATGCTGTTAGGTGAGAGAGATTATTTGTGGCAGATTTCAGAATCTGTGATCCATATTAAAAATATACAATGAGGATTTTTTAGTCTCTCCCGCTTTCTTTTGAGCCATCACATCCTATTTTCAATAACTTCTATTCCTAGATCTGTGACCCAGATAAATATTCCTTTTGGCTGTTAAGAGTCTGCATTCCCTTGTCACCAAGAAAAGAAAAAATCCCTCCCTTTTAATTCATTGCACCATAAAACCGTTAACGTAGTCCTATTTTGATTTGATGATCTCATCCTTTGGTGTGAACAAACCGACCCTCCGCCGGGGGGCGCGCAACGCTGCGACTCTTCATTCAAACGCCCGAAAGGGCAGCGCGTTGCTCTTCTAATTCGGTATCTTACAGACATCCGAAGCTGTTCCTGGAGAAGTGCAAAGCCCCGCCCCTCCATCAGTGTCAGAACGGCATCTCCCCCCTAACCCAGCCCGGAAGCTGCCCGGCTTAGGTCTCCTCACCTGCCCTCCCTGTCGTTGCGCACCTTGGCACGCATTTGTAGCGCGCGCGTAAAAGAAGGCTCGGCAGCTGCAGTAGCATCTTATCCTCCCCCGGTTGCTGGCTTGTCCTCTTCTTTGTCAAGTGATTCAGTTTTTTAAAGCCTAATCTGAGAGATCCTGTTGCAACCATTTTTGACTACACATTTAAAGGAGGAACTCTGGTAATAACCACTTTCCTGGGACTGGGAGTAAGTCCCATCCAACTAAGCAGCGCTTACTTCTGAGTAGGCATGCATAGGATTTTCAACAGGATTTTAATTTTTTTTTTAAAGCAGCCCTTCGCATACAGGAGACGGTATTTCTCACAGGGAGTTTAGAATTATGATCCAGATATTGCTCTTCAGAATAATCATGTACGCCTGCAATTTTATCTACATCTATTGTGTGCGTGATGCGCATAGGGGCACAAAAGCCAAAAAGACAGGGATCGCATGTCCAAGAGCACTCGCGTGCAATCATGCGCGCGTGTGAATGCTTTTCTTACGCGTGCAGGTTTCACGCTGGATCGAACGTCTGCATTTGCAACAGGGACAGGCTTTGGAGCGCCGTCTAAAAAAATAATAAATCTGCAATCGGTTTGCCTACAGAATTTCTAACGGGAAGCGGAGCGCGTGTCTGCGCGCGCGCGCCACCCATGTGCCTTTCATGCAAAACGCCCAGGCGCGGAGGGGTGCTGAATTTGTGCAAGGTCTGTTTGCCGAGAGGGGGCCCGTCTCTTCTTCTCCCCCTCCTCCCGCTTCAATGATGTCATGGAGAGGCAGCAGGCGAAGGAGGGAGGGGGGAGGCAGAGAGGAAAAAGGAGGAGACACTGCAGGTTCATGTGTATATAATGAAAAGGCATTTGACAATCTGCCAAAACGCACGGGAGGGAGAAACTGGACCTACTGGATTTCGTAAAGCGAATCGTCATCATCTGCAACTACATGGGGAAGGAGGAGGGGGGAGCAGTGGCGGCGGCGGCAGAAGCAGCGATTCCAGACTCGGCAGCCTCCATGTGAAACCACAAGCAAAAATAAAGCGGGGAAGAAGGGGGAGGGTGGGGTGGTTGGGGGAAAATTAAGGGAGGAGGAGATCACTGATATTTTCACACAAAAAAATCCATCAGATCCAGTCCTCCTTCGTCGCAATTGCTTTCTCGCGCTGGCTCTTCGCTGGGATTAAAAACCGCCTCTTGGCAAGAGCAGCAGCCATGAATTCAGCTGAGCAAACCGTTACATGGCTGATTACTCTGGGGGTGCTGGAATCGCCCAAAAAGAGCATCTCGGATCCGGAGGGATTTTTGCAGGCGTCCCTGAAAGACGGGGTGGTGCTGTGCAGGCTGCTGGATCGCCTGCTGCCGGGGACCATCGATAAAGTAAGTGGCATTTATGTCCCTATATTTCCCCTTTAAGCCTCTTCTCCCTCCACCGCCCTCCTTCCCTCCCCCCCCCCATCACACGGGTAAGGCAAGCGGATTTTATACTTGGGTTTCACCACCAGAGTGCTCGCACAGCGCATGCAGCACACCATGCTGCCCTCGGATCTGATAACCCACGAGTGCTGCAGACAAATAAAAATGCCCTGGCTGGGTGCTGAATAATGCAGCGGCCCCGGCTGCTTTTCCGATCCTCTTTGGCACAGGGCGCAACAGTCACCCAGGTAGCCAGAGGCTCCGCCGCCCTTGCCAGATAAAAGAGGCGCGCACAGCGCGCATGGGCGCAACCCGAAGAGGCTCCTTCCATCTCAGTCGATCTGGACATGCAAGGAAGTGAGCCGATCGCATCTAAGCGCTTTTCCTTTGTCCAAGGAGTCTCCCCACCCTCGCAAACGCAGGAAACGTGCGGCCTTTTCCTGGGGAATGCAGTTGCCTTCCTTCAGCCGACGGTGCGGACATCCCATCTAGCAAGCGAAAGGCGCCATTGTCAAAGAGGAAGGGGGTGGGAAATGGGTGGGGAGTGGGGTAAATATAGGAGCAGAGTTTGGAGCAGGGCTAAGCTGCTGTACTTTTCGATTTTCTCTTAAAGGGGCAGGAATCGTCGAACGTTTGCAGATCTAGGCTGAACGAAAATTAAGGGTAAAACGTTTGTAATCGCCCTACAAGACCCACAGTGATTTAGCATGGGAAGAATAAAACGTTTTCCAAAAAATCATATAATGTATAAGAGAAAATTAGTTTTCCTTCTTTTATTTAAGACATTAGCAATCTAAACTAAAAGTGTGCCTCTCCTTTTTTGCACAAGCACTGTTATTCATTGTTCTTACTGAGAAGTAATATTACAGCTGTGGTCTGATAGGCATGCAGACAGAAGGTTCCAGCTGAAATTAACAATCCGTTCTAGAATTTATGGATTGGTGCAGTTTATAATTTTGCATGGATGCTAAGGATCTGCTGAGGCCTTCACAGATCCAAAGGCCCATTTTGGGCCTGTTGGATGGGAGAATGGGTGTGACAGAAAGGACATACTCTCAGGCTACAGGCTTGCAATGGAACATACAAATTTCACAAAATATGACTGATTAGAGAGAGAGAGAAAGATAGACAATCTTGCATGAAGTCCTGCACTTAGACTTACAGTTCTAGCATGGGCGAGGTGCAGATCACATAATTCAAACTACTATAGCACTACTGTTGCTATTACTTAAAAATAACCCTTATACTAAGAGATAGCTCTGCTTGCTCACATTGCAGTACGCTGACCTAGTTTTCGAAGGAGCGCTGGTGATTTATTGTGAGTGTTATTTTGAAGTCTTAAGTTTAGTGTCTTACAGCTTGACCCTCGGTAGATGAAGCAGCATTTTAGCTGAAAACGAAGCACCTTAAAATTTTCTGTTGTGTGTTAAAAAAATTGAATATGGTACTTGTCTTTTTCAAACATTGACTCAAAGCCAGAGAAAGCCCCCCCACCCCTACCCCCGGTGTATTTTGCAGGCAAAAAAAGGCCAGCTGCTTTATTTCAAGGTCTATAAACAATGTACTCAGATTGGCTTATTGTATTTTCTTATCTCTGGGTATAGTTTTGACTGTAGACTTTTCCAAACTTGGGAAAATCGGTGCCTGTTTGCTGATCCCACTCCACCCTTGTAAATTAATGTGAACTTTGACCTACATATTGGCTAAGTTTCGCGTTCATACTAGTTGTCTAGTTTATGTGTGGGTAGAGGGAGAAAGGGAAAGTTTAGCTTTGTCGCTGGTTACAGATGCATCATCATAATGCACGAACCTGCGTGAACGCAACAAGAAAAACAATATTGCTCTGGCTGTAGTATTTTTGCCATAAGTTTCGGCACTATTCTACATAGGTTTGTGGATTCAGAATATTATTTGTACAGTGGAGGCCTCTAGAGGGTGTAGTGGTTGTTAGCGTTGGAGCTGCAACTCCCAGCTGCATTTGCAGAGCATGTGGAATTTGAATTCCCGCCTTCCTTTTTTCTAACCTTGGAGAAATTGGCAGCACAGGGCTTGCTACTGGGTAATCCAAAACTATAGCTTTAAGCAAATCTTGTCCGGTGGGCAGTGTGACTTAGACCAGGTTGGCAGAGTCACCTTTGATTTTTTTTTTTTTTTTTGTATTAGAACCTTCAAGATCCATCAAGTGGAGCCCAGGTGCAAAAGACATATACTTAGAATGAAATAATTCTGACCCCCCAAAATGGCTGAGTACTGGAACTGCCCTTCCACACACAAAAAACCCACTCCTCATTGCCTCTTCTCATTGAGCAGTCTTAGCAGTATAATTTGGGGGTGACAAGTACTTTTGTGGTTGTCCTGTTTTTTTTTTAAAAAAAGGAAGCCAGCTTTCCTTGCTCATCTGCTTCAGATTACCCAGAGATCTACCAGCAGATTCCAGTCTCCCTTTCACCCACTTCTAGGCTTAAAACACAGAAATGTTTTCTCCATGGTGCGTATCAAGTTGCATTTGCACATTGCTGCGAATTGCACAGTGCTGCGAACATTGGGGCGGAGACAGGGGTGTCTTCACCCGATGCGCGTGAACCTGTTTGATTTCTCTAGCCTTGCAACCTATTCCGGAAGCTGTCGTCTGCGCATGTACGGTGGCTGTTATGCATACACACCTCATCTTAACAGCAAGGTGAATGAGGCTGTTATGTACTGAGTTGAATAGGATCCAAAAGGCAGCAGTCTGGTTGGTCCTAGAACAATAGGATTCAGAATGCCGCAGTCTGATTCGTCCTAGAACAATGCAGCAGTATGATTGGTCTGCAGGAGCCACCCAATCCAGCTCCAGGTGGAAGTGAATCCGCAACCTGATTGGCCCATGGGAGAATCCCGGAATAAGCCAATCACGTGCGGCCCATTGTGTAAATAATGTATATAAAGCAGATATTTTGGGGAAACTTTCATTTCTCACTACTATGAGCTGAATAAAGAGCATGAAATCCACACTTGACTCCGAGTATATTTCAGAGGCTTAAGTTTTCCTTTCGGATTGACAGAAAACACATCAAACAACAGGGCCTCTCAAGGAATTACAGGATAACTCTGCACCAAGAGGCAACGTCCTCTGTGTGTTCATGGATTCAAAAGCCAACCGTGGTAGTGCAGCCCTGCTTTAACCCCAACACCACCATTCCTTTTAAATTTGCAGGGCGAAGGGATGCGTAGATGAGTCCTTGGGGCAGGGTGGGCCAGAGTGTGGAATGTGCTGTTTGCTTGCATTTGCAGCCAAGGGAGAAGGGAGTGTGGAAGAGGTCGTGGGGACATCCTGGGGAGAGTGCATCTTGGATGACAGGGCTGTTTGGGTTGGCAAGATAGCTGGTGTTTTGGCATGTGGGAGGATTTTGGAGGGCAAGCAGTGGCACACGAGAAGAAAGCTTAGACTGTATGTGTGTGTGTGTGGCCGGAGGGTGGGGGGAGAGAAGGAATTGGGAGTTGCAGGGAGGTGCTAGAAACCAGATAAATTGGATGTTAGCTACTATCTGCTGCTGCCCTGAAACAGTGTGAATGGAAAATGTGCGGTGTGGACCCTACTGGATAGGGAATTGTTGGTGGGAGCTCAAGCAACCGTTGGTTTGATTGGAGGCAATGGAGAATCGTGCAATTCCCAGAGAGCATCGTACTGCCTTGTGCTTTGAGAAACATGGCTTAAGGCTGAACTGCCAGTGTAAACCCTCATAGCAGTTTGTTTGAGTATGGCGCCTAGACCTCTAAATCACTGCCGCCGCATCCCCTCTACTGCTTGAATGTATATGGTCGGAAACCTTTCCAAATCAGGAAAATGTATCTTTCCAATTGTGGCCACAACAAAGATGGCTCACCAGGGATGGAGATCAAACTAGAAGGAGATACAAGCTGCTTGCGGGATTTAAGTCAGCAAAGAGGGCTGCTCAGCTGCCTCTTTTGCCTTTGCTAGTCAACAAGCCTAAGCACAACAACTTTTCTCAGGATGGCAGCCAGAGGGTTGGGAGTGGGCTTTGTTGTTGTGCGTTTGTAGTTCTTTTTGTAAACAATCTGCATGACACCGAAAAGCTGACTTAACATTGGCTGCATTTGGACAATCCACTCCCAGCCTAATAAGCTGAGAAATGAATGAGTGTTTTGCCTGCGCACACACAACCCCCTTGATTGATCCATAATTGAACCAGGAAGGGAATTAACCATAGTTTACCATTTCATCCAAACTGGGAGGCTAGAGTTACCAGCAAGTCATGATGTTAAGCTGGCTTCAGATCATGGTTGAATGCTCTGGCTTGTTATAAACTTGGGAACCATATGTTGCATTTATACTCCCATTTACTTTGTACTCACTGAGTTTCAGTGTTGGGTTTTTAATCCCTTCCACACAACATTATCCAAAATGCATATGTATCCTGTACTTTGCTGTGATATACGAATGTTTGATGTGTTGTTTCTCCAACCAGTGGTGTCACTTCACACCAACTGGAGTCCTTAAGTGGACCTTAATTTGTCTCTATCCAAGGTATGAACACCTTTGCACAGGGTAAGACATCCTTGACATCAACAGCCCCTGACGTTTTTACACACTCAAATTAATTGAAGCTGTTCAGAAGAGCTGTGAAATGCACTGAGAAAAAACCAACTTTACTGTGCTCTGAGATGGTAATGTAGACCAACCCATGGTTTCCTGGTTTGATTGAAATGGTAAACTATGGTTTTTCTCAGGCTTTCTAACATTTATTCACTACCTGATACTGCCTATGAAAGCTCATGCTACAATAAACAAATTTAGATGTAATTTACACATTCAGGTACCTTGACAAGGTCTGCATTTTTTGGATGTATGATTTCTGCTAGCACATTGACACGTAACAGAAAGTTGCATTATTGTCCTTTGCAATATGATGAGTGATGCCGCACCATTGAAAAGCAGCTTTCACTGAGATGGCCCTTCTAGG